CCAACCCGAGACATGTGACGCGCCTGAATTTTAAAGCGATGATCACCACCAAACCTTTGCTCCTAAACCTAAACCGTCTTCACTACACTCAAGATGGCATATGAAACTACTAAATTGAATAATAGCACTACACCACTCCTCAACCCAATCTCTCCAAATAAATTGCTAAACATAGCAGCGTCTAGCTGTCCACAAGCTTAGAAATTTTCTAAGTGTTTGAGCTAATCTTAATTTCATATTGCATTTCTAAGCTACTGAAAATATTACTTAGCAATATTCTTTTTCAATACCAAGTATTTCATTGTCATCTATAAAGTTTGTACTTCAAACTTTATTTAAGTGCCACATACATGTTCTATAGCATTTTTGTTCAATAAAAATTAGTTTACACCCCTACTTGTTAACTGTACGAATCGTGGAGCAACATTCGTTTCGCATTTTCTTGATCGTTTTAGTTGCAATGTATTATCTACTCACTTCACCACATGCATTAACACACAAGTATGATTCTCATGACATGTTTTAGTAAATGATTTAGGATGTAACACCGAGGGTGGTACAGTATCTCCTCAAGTTTATCATGTTTTTTCTAAGCTCCCTTTTAGAGGTTTTGAGCTGCTTGAGTTTAGATGACACAATTTTATTTTCTTCTCTAAGCTCATCACTAGCTTTTTTGGCTATGTCATAATTTGCTAAGAGTGGGTCATTCTTAAGTTCTAGCTTCTTATTTTTTGCTCTTGTCTTTTTAATGATTTAAGTGTATTAGTTTAACAATTTGACAAGATCATCATAAGAAGGTGATTCAAATTCTTCATCACTAGCATTATCATCACCATTACTATCATCATCATTTTGTACCTTTCGTTCACCCTTGGCCATGAGGCATAGATGTGTAAAGAATGATGACAGCGTTATCGATGAAGATAGTGAAGAGCCAATCACAAGAGCAGCCACCTTCTCCTTCTCATTTTCACTTTCATCATCGGATGAGCCACTTGATGATTCAATGTCCGTGAGTCAATCACCAACAATATAGGCCTTACCATCTTCTTCTTCTTGTGAAATTCCTTTTTGCCATCTTTCTTCTTGTATGGCTTGTTCTTCTCATCATCATCATCATCACTTGAGTCATCTTTCTTGCCTTTGTACTTTTTCTTGTACTTGTCTTTCTTGGGTTTGGGGCATTGATGGGCTAGATGACCAAGATCTCCATAATTATAGCAATCCATTTCAGAGATGGGCTTCCTTCTACTAGTAGTGAAGAATTTCCTCTTCTTGCCATCAAACTTGACACTATTCTTGTTTAGCTTCTTGAGTATCTTGGCGGTTCTTCTCACCATGAAAGCAAGGCTTGCATTATCAATCTCATTATCACTTGAGCTATCATGATCAACTTTTTCTTTGCCCCTCTTCTCTTGGCTAGCCTTGAATGCCAAATCTTTCTTCTTGGTGGAAGAAGAGCCATCTTGTGGAGTGATGTGCATGTACATCTCATGTGCATTGATCTTCCCCAATATTTGAGTTGGTGTAGCAGTGGAAAGATCAACTTGATGAAGCACCATCACAATATGCCCATACTTGTCAATGGGGAGGACACTCAAGATCTTTCTCACAACATCGGATGGTTGCATTTGTGTGAGTCCAAGCCCATTGACCTCCTCTACAAGAACATAAAAGCGTGAATACATTTCATTAGCACTTTCACTAGGAAGCATCTCAAATTAATTAAGCTTCTTCATCATAAGGTGATAGCATTCCTCAGGCTCACTCTTGATTCCCTTATGGAGCGCACAAATATCTGACCATAGTGAATGGGCATCTTTGTGGTTTCGCACACAGTTAAAGACATTCTTGCAAAGGCCTCTAAAAGGGGTGTTTCTAGCCTTTGCATTCTATTTCTCGTAGTGAACCTCATCACCTTGAAGGTTGACGGGATCCTTAGGTTTTGGGAAGCCTTGTGAGGTGGCTCTAAGCACTCCAACATCTAAAGCCTCTAGGTACGCCTCCATACGAATTTTCCAATAAGGAAATCATCTCCTTTAAAGATGAGAGAGGGTCCATCCCTATGGGACATCTTGCTCTAGGCGGTTAAGCTTAATTTAAGGAGCATGTGGCTCTGATACCAATTGAAAGGATCAAGATGCCCAAGAGGGGGTGAATTGGGCTAATTCTAAATTTCTTTCAATAATTGAGCCCTACACTTAGCCCATTTCATCCCCTTATGTCTAGAAGTGTTTCTATTATTCTACTGCACAAAAGTTTTGCACCCTAGGTTCCAATCCTACTCTAGCATGGCAATTCTAAGAATGTAAAGACATGAATTGAATTGCTCAAATGTAAATACTCAAAGTAAAGAGAAGGAGAGGAACGTGGCGATGTTTTTCCAAGGTATCGGAGAGTCACCACTCCCGACCAGTCCTCGTTGGAGCACCCGCGCAAGAGTGTAGCTCCCCCTTGGTCCGGTCAATAAAACAACAGTCCATTCACTTCCAATTTCAACATCTTCGTGAATGAGTTTGTCTCCAATCAATCTTAGAGCTGTACCTGAGCTACCTAGTGCTAAGTTTGACAAGTGTGCACCACACCTAAACCATTAGACTTACCTAGGTCAAGCTACTCGTTCATACCCCCTTAATAGTACGATCAAATGAAAACAAAGTCATAAACTACTCTAAGTGTCTCTCCAACGCCAAATGACACTTAGAACTAGTCCGTCCTTAACCTTGTCGTCCATCTTTTAAAACCAAAACGATTTCCATCGATAGGGGCATGAAAACCATAATTGCCCAAACAATCATCATTACCATGACCTAACTGAAGTTGCCTCTGCAAAACACACGTTAGTCATAGTAATCTCGTGTCGTCATTAATCACCAAAACCCAACTAGGGACCTAGATGCTTTCACAAAGCAAATAATAACTTTTACATTATATAAGATAAACTTAACAATTCCAAAACCTAGGCCATGTATAATTAATTCGGTGATCCAAACAACATCCTAGCTTTTATAACATAATTGGGTCTGATTGATTCCCCGTTGTGATGACCTGCATAATGGTTGTGTCGGATATCCAATCCAACATAGCCTTATTCTTTTAAGGGATGTGATGAGTATCTAACATTGGGGTTAAAAATACCCTCTACTAAACACCTTTACAACGAAATTAACCCCCGGACTGATTCCACCAATCAATCAGGGGTTCGGGGGCTACACCCAGTGGGTGTGCTCACATGCCCCCGCTAGATACCGACCAAAGCCCATAGGGCTCGAATTACCCCAAGCGAACAATAGTCCACTCGATGGCCCCAAGTGTTTTGCTTAGGAGCCGCACAACTCCTCCTCGCTCGAGGGCTCTGATCGAATGAAAATGGCTCAGCAGGCGAGGCCTGGAGACCTCGTCCGGACACTCGGTTTCCTGTCGGGGGCTCCGGCCGAGCGAATGTTGCTTGGAGAGCGGGACCCAAATCCCCTCACTTGGGACATCTCATGGGAGGGCTTGGTCGAGGGACAGATTCTAGGGAAGCGTGGAGTTGTCCCCTACTTCATCGAAGGGGCGTTGTGCTTGGTCTCGAGGGCGATACGGACCAACTGTAGCACTAGCTCGACTGGCTCCTCATCGGCTCATCACCTACCCATGGATTCGATACAAACAAGGATGCCACATCACCAGCCAGCCAATCGCCACGTCAACAGGTGGTGGCAGCAACAAACACTATTGTGGCTAGTTTGTTGGGCGGTGTTTCCGAGGGTGGCGCACTCCAACCTGTGGCAAGGATGCCAAGGGAGAGGCGGAGTGGAGTTGTGGAGAAACGGGACGCTGCGAGTCGTAGCTAGCATTCCATAGCATCGACTTGAGGGCCCACATGATGAACCTGCCCGAGGCGCCCGCCATGGCTGAGGCATGAGGATCTTAGCTCCGGACATGGAGACAGAGATAGGGATAGAGTAGTTAGATTCAAAGAGGGGGACATGATAGACTTAGGGCAAGAGGAAGTGGTAAGTGGACTCTGAGCGCTCAAAGAGCGCATGGCAGAACCATTGGTGAGTTGCAGAGGGGATGCACGAGAGAACCTGCATAGCTAGATACGTTGGATTCGGCCGAATCGTGAGATGCATCCTAGGCATGCTTATAGGACGGTGCTAGTCTTTCTTATGGGCTTATGTAGATGTAGGTAACTAAATAGAGACAAATTACACTAGACAGGCGAGATCTAAATAATAAATTGCAGAGTGCCTTTGTAATATTTGGTTAGTTGTGTTGGTTTTGTCGGTAGCCGGGCAGTAGTCGTCCTAAGACCAGCCACTAGTAACGAAATCAACATTGACGTTGTCTGTCACAAGTGCGTGTCAGTTGGTGCAGTACCACTGTCACATCCCTTTTAGGCCTTGTACCTGGAGCCCATGGGCCGGGCCAGGGCAGCCCGTGTCCTCTTCTCATCTCTGGCAGGCCGGACTTCTTCACCCAGCGGTGGGCCCTCCCATCTCGCCTCAGTGACAGTCCCTCTCCCTATTAATACGCGTTCCCTCCCCATCTCTTTCGGAACAACCCACTCGCCCCTAGCTACTTGCAAATTACTAGTAGTCGGCTTCTCGCTTCCCAGCTGCCTCTGCTCACCACTCGCTTCTCTCTGCCAAAGTGCAAGTGCTCTCTCCCTCTCACTCTGCTTCTCTCACACTACACACAGTAACAACACTCCCCGCCCGGAGTTCACCAGCTAACTCTCGGTTCAAGCAGGCATTAAAACCCTATCCTTTTCAGGTCTCTCTCACCTTTTCTTTTTCGTTCTCCGTTCACTCCTATTTCCGTCGTTTGCACGCTTGCTCTTGAGTCTTGACCCGAGCTCGCACACGTACACGCTGCATAAATAGGCGAGCTGCTAGAGAGGCTGAGGCAGTGACGACGAGGACGAAGAGGAATTAAACCAACGAGGTACTGTAGCTTCCTAGCGACTGGTGTCTCCGCGCGCGCAAGAGCTACGACCGTCGCCGGCCGGAGATATGTCGTCGGGCCGACGTGGCAGGATCAGCGACGACGAGATCAACGAGCTCATCTCCAAGCTCCAGGCGCTCCTCCCGGAGTCCTCACGCCGTCGGAACGCGAGCCGGGTATGTAGTAGTGCGTGTACACAGAGCTCAGTTCGTTCTCTTCCCCAAATGCATTTCATCTATCCCGTCCCGCGGCGCTAGTACGTCGTACAGTACACGTACAGCCCCATTTCATCGATCGGTGCAGCAAATTAAAGCCATGCTGTATATATGCAGTCGTCGGCGTCGAAGCTTCTGAAGGAGACGTGTGCCTACATCAAGAGCCTGCACCAGGAGGTGGACGACCTCTCGGAACGGCTGTCGGGGCTCATGTCGACCATGGACAACGACAGCCCCCAGGCGGAGATCATCCGGAGCCTCCTCCGGTGACCCGGCCGCCATGCCGCCCCCGGCGCGCGCGGTCTGGCCTCTTCTGCATATATGCCTGCTATCTAGCTAGCTAGCTAGCTGCAGAAGACGACGACGTACGGGCGAGCTTGCTTGCTCGATTGCTACGACGACGACCTTAATTATGTTCCTTTGTTTTTAATTTCTTCTTCTTCTTCTTCTTCCGGTATGTGTTTGTTTCCGTGTTTAATCAATTCAAGAGCAAGAGCTCTTGCTCAGAAGAAGACGACGACCAAGGGCTCTCGATCTTCTCGTGTACCACGGCATGTAGGGGTTAGTTAGTAGAGATATATGGACTTCTATTAACCGACTAAGCAGGTACCACGTACTGGTAGGCTTGTAGTTGCAGTAGACTACTGTAGCAGCTCCATGTTGCAGATGCGTCCTGAGAGTTGTTGTTTTGTAGATTGCATGCTGCTCTTGTCTCTGTCCTTAGCTTGCCAATGGGCAGACAAAACGACGACCACTCTGTCTGGAGACAAATATATACACTATCATGTGCTTTTCCCTGTCTTTTATTTCATCCTGATGTAACTTGGTAATGTACTCCATCCACCCATCAGTTTTTTTTGAAGATGTATCTTAATTCTTTCAGAAAAAAATGATACATTATTTTCTCACAATGAATTGAAAATCAAATGTAGAGCTAGCTCCTACCATTTGCTCTTAACAAACAATTTTTTTTCTGGATGAAGTAGAACTGGCTAGCCTTTGCACCAACCAATGATACATGACACCTGAACGCTGGGTGGATAGTTATGCTTATGCACCGCCAACCATGCATATATAACCAATGTTTTCCAAAAAGAAATCGTTCAAAAATCGACTTGTCTGAAGAATACTCTACGCCATAGAATGATGGACGATGGAGAGAGTACTTGAGGACTTCACGTGGCGATGTCCAACGCGCAGATCCGGCAAAAGACTAGAGTGATGCGCAATCAATACGAAAACGAAGCCCCCTCGTGCGGGCGCGCGTACGTGCGTGCGGCCGCTGCCGCCTGCTTCTTCGCTCACATAACCCTGGAAGTGGTTCCAGCAGTTCGATCGATGCACCTAGCTAGCTAGCGGACGGCCGGCCGGACCAGAGAGAACGACGAAGCCATTACTAGTAGAGTGCATACACACATAGCTTTGAAAAGCGCAACGTGGTTTCGGAGTTCGACGACGGGGCGACACGCTCTGATTTTTCAAATGCCAGGCTTGAGGTATGGCCTAGGTAGGATCACTGCTAGCTAGAGCTGGCCCCAGTACCTAGAGGGTACGGTCAAACTTTTTGGCTTGGCCTGACCCTGGCCTGTCATGCATGGGACTTCTCAAGAAGATCTGATGGATCATGGATCCATCCACTGGACTACTGGAGAGCGAGGAGAGGAGTCTCTAGTAGTAGTGTCTTGGACAGACAGTCTCAGACACGGGGGGCACATGTGTCAATCGCGCTAGTCTGCTGCATGCAAGCAAGATCCTTCCAGACATGGTGGTGGCGTCGCGTCGGATCGCCGCTCCCTACCGGAGACCAGCGGCGGCCATTGCCATCAGGAATCAAGGTTTGTGTTGGAGATACAGGGACAGCAAGTACGATCGCCCTTAAGTGACGATGAAAACCGGCTCCAAGTTCCGTCCAAGTCTTGCTAGATTCGATTAGACATCTGAATTAAGGAGCCATGGCCGGAAGCGGCGGCCGGTTCAGATCATCAGGGTGCGTGAAGGGCTCACTCTTGGTTCTTGACTGTGACGTCTTTCTCTTCTTCTCCTTCTTCTTCTTTTCTTTTCTTTTCTTTTTTCTCTTTCATTCAGGGGCATGCATGCAGGAGATCCGATCCGGTGTGTACAGTACAGCAATCTGCAGTACATTTCATTACTCGATCGCGCGCGTGCCAAATCAAACCATGCACAGTGCCCTTTCTGTCCCTATCTACTAACTCAAGCTCGGCTAGCTACGCGTGTGATAACTGATCGATGATATATGGTGCACGAATCCATTTGCCCCCGATATATGCAGCAGCTGCTGAAATCTCAGGGACTGTGCAGGAGTATCCGGGCTTTGCTCTCGGCATCAAGTCAGATCTCAGGGGCTGTGCAGTGCAGATGTGCGTCCAAAACCTTCCATCCAACAGGACGGATTATATCCTACTAGCTAGGGTTTACTACTCGACCTCCCGTGTTTATTTCAAGACATTGGCAGATACTTGTGTCTAGTGGTATGTATGAGCATGCATCGTTTGCTGAACCACATGCACACGCTTAGGAAATGGCTCACACTCGCAGTTCAAGAACAGGAAAGCATGCACTGCACATAGATAAGCCATTTCTGGTGGCCCAGCACCAGCTCTTGGACTTGGAGGAAGAAAGTTAAAGTGTTTGTTTATGAGTTCCGAAACCCTGGACGGATGGGACGGGGGGGGATTATTCAGCTCAGCTTCATCTGGAGGGGTGTTGAGGTCCGTCCGGCCGGGCCATGCAGCGTGGAAAGCCGAGCTCCGAAATATGGATGGTTTTGGGAGCGATTTGAGGAGGGAGCAAACTTTTTGTCTGCGATGTGAAGGGCCGGCGCTGGGCAGGTGCGGTAGCCGGGCAGGCCGGTGCCCACATAATGAGGAGCTCTGTCCTGGCGCGTCCTAGAAATGTGCTTCACTTGTCTTGTCAGTCAAACGACGAGCTCCGCCACTTTGCTTCCGGAGTATCAGTCCAAGCAGCCACTATACCAGGACAGGCACACACACAGACGCGTATGTATTAGTACTACTAATATTAATAGCACAAGCGATTAATATTAATCGTCATCATGTCGTGCGTACTCTTCTTTAATGCCAAAAAAACATAATACATGTGGCGCACTAATTAATATACTACTAGTTTGTTAAGCTACAATAATACATGCTTGCCACACGTGCTGAATCGATACATTTGTGTACGAGTACACGCATCTCTTGAAACTTCAAAGGGGCCCGATCGATCAATCGGACTGACTTGGCTTGTAGTAGTACGTATAGTAGCAGCGACCAGCAAGAGGCTCCATAGATCGCCGATCGACAACCCATCAGTTGCCGGACGGACAGTAGGGCCCTGGCCGGGCCCGGGTGCGCCGCGCCGGCGGTGGTATGATAGTGCCACGGGAGGCCCGTCGCTGTCCGTGCCGCAGGACGCTGCCGCTGGATCCGGGCACCACGATCCGGGCGGCAATTACCGGCACGAAAGCGAATCCCAGCTTCCTGTAGGCCGGGCAGGCGTAGGCACGCCGCTGCCTGCTGATAAACGTCCGTTTGGCTCATTCAAGACATGGCTAGAAGTATTATTGACTGATTTGTTGTAAGAGAAAAATATTATTCGTTGACTAAAAAAAACACGACTTAAAAGTCAAACAAGCTCAAACCACACACGGCGAAGATGGTCCTCCCCCGGCCCTCCCTCCTCACCACCTCAACAGGTCCACCGCTCCCGCGCGGTGCAGTGGACCACAACAGCGACCTGGCTCAGGCGGCCCCGAGCGTGGAGGAGGAACCACCGCACCAGCACACTCCACCAGGGAACTTCCATGCATGGGCTCACCTCACCACCCGCCGCAGATCGCAGAACCGAAAAGGCGCGGGCCTGGCCGGCCGGCCCCCCTGCTGCGTGCTCCACCAACTAGCTTTTTGTGGTGCCGGTGCCTGTCAGCCATTGCCCTGCCGCTCGGTCGTCCTCGCCTGCCTCGGCAGCGCGAGACACCCCAGGACGACGGCCCTGTTTCCGGAACGATCCGCAGTGCGGGCACGCGGCAAGAGAACGAGCGATGCCGCCGCGCGCGTGGTGGCGCCGGCGCCGCCAGCGCGCGCGGTTGTTTCAGTGTATGTTTGCCCGATCGGGCCGGGCGAGACGAGGCCGAGAGGGCTGGCCCGGCTGGCGGGCGAGCACGGAGTCGAACCGCTGTCGGATCTAGTCCCCCGCGCCAGCGGCCGCGCGTGGCCCGCTGCGCTCGGCGCGCGACACGGTCAGGGCCCAGGCCTGTAGACGGGCCCCGCTTTTGAATGATTGAACTGGCCGGAGCTAGCCCCCTCGAGCCTACCTGTACGTAGAACTTGCAAGGAACAAGGGCACATAGTCCCCCTCAACTTTTAGCAAAAGTATGTTTTTTCTTTGAACTTTAAAACCCGGTAAATTATCTCTGAAACTTTTAAAACCGTTCATTTTACCTCTCTGACCATTTATAAGTGGTTTTTAAAGACAGTTTTATCTTTTATTTTTATTTTTATTTATTTCAGCTAAATTTTGAAAAATCATAGTAAATCACAGAAAAATCATAAAATGAAAATCCAATTTTGTTGGACTTCACATGAGTAGATATACACGGTGAACATATAATATGGTATGTTTTAGTATAAATTTTTTGTTGTAGCTTTAGATCTATGTTTTTTTTATAATTAATTCATAGCTGTAGTTTCTATGGTCCAATTGTGGTGAAATTTTTATGGTGGGCTAATTATTGTATGCTTGAACTATAGTAAAATTTCCTACTTATTAGATCATGTATAACTTAGTTATAGATTTATAAATACTTTTTAACAAGCATACACATAAATAAATCTATAACTAAGTTACACATGATCCAATGAGTATGATATTTTTACTATAACTCAAGCATAAAATAATTAGCCCACCATAAAAATTTCACCGCAATTATACCACCAAAACTGCAGCTATGAATTAATTATAGAAAAGCATAGATCTAAAGTTACAATAAAACATTTGTACTAAAGCATATCATATTATATGTTCACTGTGTAGAACTACTCATGTAAAGTCAACAAAATTAAATTTTCTATTTAATTTTTTTTGTGATTTACTATGATTTTTCAAAGATTCAACAAAAATAAATAAAAAAGAAAAAGACAAAATTGTCTTTGAAAACCGTTTATAACCGGTCAAATGATTTTAAAACAAAAAATAAATAAAAAAGAAAAAAAGCAAACTTTTGTAAAAGTTGAGAGAAGTAACGTGGATGG